GGCAAGAGCAGATACCTCATCAGTAGTTCCAATGTATTCAAAGAAGTCTCTTCAGCCCAGTGTCAGTGACAGCTTTTCACAGTTAACACTGTCTCCTGAAACACTCTGACATCTTTCATCTGCAAGGGGTTTCACAGAACAGGCTTATGAATCAGGTTGCCAGTAGCCAGTAGACGTGACAACTCTTCTCAAGGAAGTGTTGCCGTCACACAGATTATCTTTGGCATCAAATATGATTCAGAACATTCAGAACAACACAGATGTCTTGAATTATGACCACTCTATCCTGAAATTCTCTGATATTCACAGAAAGACCCTTTGCAACCAGTCATCACTTTTCTTGTGAATACAGATACAATATGGAACAAGCAGACTTGCAGTTATCACCACTAATAAATTCGATCAAAGACATCAGTTCAACCATATATACACACATTGAGTGTTCTGGTCATTTGTTGAACAAGAAAGCTATCTCTTCAGAACAGAAGCCTTCATAAAACAGAGTTTCCCTTCACAAACAACAGGAGCTGCAGTATCACCACTACTGCTGCCTCAGGAGTAAGCAAAAATGATGTCCTGCTTTCACAGCACAACTTACAAATAGCAGCCTGGTCTGCCAGTGATGTGGCATGGTGTTGATGCAGGCACTGTCCCTGCAGCTGATGGCTGACCTTGGAAACAGTCATTCACCACACAGCAAAAAAACCATCCAAACCATCTTCACAATGCCACGCTACAGTAGCCCAGGATAACTCTCCAGATGCCATACAAACTGCAATACTGCAAGACATGATCATAGCACATACCAGAAATATGTTATGATGTGCTCTTGCTAATTTGGCAATGCCCATTAGAAGTGCAAATCCACACCAGGACTGGATAAAACCTGTATGGATCACTAAATATACTGACAGCTCGCACGTGGAACCATGCCAGGATAAAAGTTACATTCTTTTCAGCTTATGTGTCTGTTTGCTTTCATAAAGTGAGGGAGAAAACGCTCTTTCGCTGACTCCTGTGAACACCTCATTTGTATGAATGTAACTGAAATGTAACACTCATTTTCCCTGAGGTAGAAAAGGAACCACATCAAGCTTCCCCTCTCTGAAGTATGCTGCCTTTGTGGCACATGGCTGGAGCAAAGCACAGTGAAAACTACAGCTAAAACTAGTGTTGAAAGAGTGTTGTGTTTGAATGGAGAACATATAATGAAGAAAAAAAAAAGGATCACTGTTATAGATGTAGTTTTCAAGCAAAAATTGCCTTTATTAAAATAGATTTTACTAACTTTCCTGTTTCTTTTCTTACCAAGTTCTCTCGCTCTGGCCTTCCATACTTGTGGCCATACTGGTGCTTTCTGCATGTTTTTGTGACTCTTAGTTTACCAACCCAACAGAAGATAGAATTCATTTTCCTTTTTCCTGGTTAGTTTTATGCCCTGTTAACAATCAGAACATGTCAGGGAGGGGTCCAGTGCGTAACAGGTTTGGCAATATAAGCAGCAAGAATAGGTCACTAGGACCAAGGAGGAAGATAGGGAACAGAAATTCTGTGGCAATTACACATTAACTTTTCTCACTGCATCTTCATCCATCCTTTGGCTGAAAACTTTCCATTTTGGAATGGTGAAATTACATCTGGAGAAAAAGAATGCAAATATTGTTCCACAGTAAAGCAGCTCAGCATATACAGGTCTTACTTTCTCTTATTTCCAGAAGTACCTTTTACAGTCTACAATGACAGCAAATGATCTTCCTGTGTTCTTTCAACTGTCCTCAATTGATTCCTTAATTTCATCTTGCAACTGTTTCTTTCCACTCACTTGTTCTTTCTGCAATAGGTAGGCCACTTGATTGTTTCACTGTATTCTATCAGTAAGGTCTTAACTGCTCTCCTTCACCTTTAGCCACAGTCATCTACTCCTCTCTCTGATCCACATTAGGAGCTCTGAATTGGCAAAAAAAATGAGAAGTCACTGTAGTATTCCATTTAACAGCATTCTAATCATGTGGGTGAATTCTTTCACGAGAGTGCGTACTGCCAGTTTTAATCCTATGTACACTAACATCTGATTTTTCTTCAGTAGAAGTACTGCAATGTGCAGAGTTTCTACACAAGTACAGAAGGTGCTCCAACAAAAAGTAAATAATAGAGACCAGACTGAGCTCTGTCATTAAACTAAACCAGCTGCAGAAAGCTTTACTGATGCTAATGAAACCTCATGGTTTTAAAGTCCTGGCCCTAAGGAGAACTCACAATAAAAAGATAAAGCAAAACATGATGTAAATGAATTTAAAACACTGTAAGAGGAGATAAAACCCCTCATATATCACATTGTTGGTAAATGCTTGGTACTTAGCCATCCCTTCTCATGGCAGAAACAGAGGCTCTGCTTTATTAATTTTAAATACTTAGGAACTTTAGGTGTGCAGACAGCTCTGGAAACACTTGTCACCTTAAACATGACTCCCCACTTTCAGGAAAGAAAAGTCTATTAGTTGTGCACAACATAACAAGTGTCTCTGACTCAGTCTCTGTAGATTTACGTTTTTTAGCTATCCCTGGGACAGTTAGAATCATAGAATAGTTAGGGTTGGAAAGGACCTTAAGATCATCTAGTTCCAACCCCCCTGCCATGGACAGGGACACCTCCCACTAAACCATGCCACCCAAGGCTCTGTCCAACTATTTGAGGAACTAGTCACAGCAGTAGAAGCTCTCTTTGCAATATCAGTCCTTCTGTGACCACATCTCAACCTTGATGTACAGAGAAAAGCCACTGCAGGTAGAAGGCAGCCATGCCAAATAAACCCCACCATACAGTGACTACACATAAACTAACTTTCAGCTCTTGTCCGGTAAGAACTGGAATAAGCTGGAAGACAAAGAGATTGCCAGCTACCAGGAAATGTATGAACATTCAACTATGGCAGGTCAAGTACAACTGTGTCTCTCAAAGTTACACACTGGTTTTTTGAACATCTGAGCATAGGCAGAACTTCCCTTGGGTTTTGATTTCTCCTTTTCAAGACGTTAGACTTGACCAGAAACATACCAACCATAGTTCATGGCTGCCCTATGACCTGTGTAGTGATACAGTGTAATGGTACTCCTGAACAGAAAAATACACATCATATTTCACAAAAGTGACTAAGCAGAACCTAGGAGACAAAATGAGACGTAGACAACACGGGGAAAGGTGGTTCAGTAGCACTTTGTCCCCAGTACTTGCTCAGGCTCTTAGAAATTGCTTCAGGACAAGGTTATAGGCAAGACTAGACTTAGTGATTGCAGAGAGATTAACTGTGCCGTGGCATGTACGTCACAAACCCTGGGGAACAAAGCAAGCTTCTCTGCAGACTGAGCTGATAAGTGAGCTTACTGTAGGTAACTAAGCTAATCAGTAGGAGTCTGGGCAGAAGGTAGAGTAGATAACGAGATGAAGCAGGAGAAGGGTGAAATGATTCCCAGAGACTGGAAGAAGAATGAAGATCAACAACAGGGAGAAAGAGAAAGGATAAAAAAGGAAATCTGTGCTCTTAACTAAAGAAATCTGATGTTAAATGAAGTCTGATCCCCATAGCATGACTGAACAACAGAAAACAGATCGGGATAAAGAAAAGTGGAGGCATTCAATGCATTTTTTGCACAGTCCTTAATAATTCTGATAGACCTTGAGCTGCCTGGTCCCCTGAGTTGGAGGACCATGAGTGTGGGAACAGTAACTTTTCATTTGTGAACACTGAAATTGTAAGGGACCAGCTGTACCAGTAAATGTACTTAAGTCCATGGGGCCAGACGGGATTAACCCCAGAGTACTGAAGGAGCTAGCGGATGTTATGGCAAGACCCCTCTCGATCATCTACCAAAGGTCTTGGAAGGTCTCTACTCACTTGTTATTCCAATCCTCAAAAACGGTATGAGGGAAGACCCAGGGTACTACAGACCTGTGAGTCTAACCTCAGTTCCTGGAAAAAACTATGGGCTATGGAGAAGATTATACTGGGTGCTACTGAAAGGCATTTAAAGAATAATGCAGTCATCAGGCACAGTCACTATGGGTTCACAAAGGGAAAATCCTGCCTAGTTAATTTGATATCTTTCTACTATAAGGTCACAGACCCGGTGGATGAAGGGAAGGCAGCAGATGTAGAAATTTCTGGATTTTAGTAAGGCTATTACTATGGCAGCATCCTTCTGGACAAGTTGCCCAGCTGTGGTTGAATGTGTCCAGAGGAGGGCAACAAAGCTGGTGAAAGGGCTGGAAGGAATGTCCTGTAAGGAATGGCTAAGGACTTTGGGTCTGCCTAGTTTCAAGCAAAGGTGGCTGAGGGGAACCTCATTGCTTTCTACAGCTTCCTGAGGAGGGGAAGTGGAGTGGGAGGTGCTGATCTCTTCTCCCTGACATCCTGGATGCATGGGAATGGTTCAGAGCTATGCCAGGGGGAAGTTTAGACTGGACATTAGAAAGCATTTCTTTACTGAGAGGGTTGTGAAACCCTCGAACAGGCTTCCTAGAGAGGTGTTGATGCCCCAGGCCTGTCAGTGTTCAAGAGGCATTTAGACTATGCCCTGAACAACATGCTTTAAGTTTTGGTCAGCCCTGAAGTGGTCAGGCAGTTGGACTAAATGATTGCTGTAGATTCCATCCAACTGAAATGTTCCATTCTGTTCTGTTCTGTTACCCTGTTCTACTGTATTCTGTTCTGTTCATTCTTTTTCAGACATGCACTAAAGGTTCAGATGGTAACAGACCTCAAAAGTAATTCAGTACCTGTTCTGTTGCTTATCAGTACCCCTCATTCCCAGACACATCAGGGCATAAAAAGGAATTTAACTCATCCCTCTGTGAAATAATAAACCATTGCCTCCTTTGTAAAACCAAAAGGGATAAAACAACATGTGACAAACAGCACGCAATCAGGATCAAAAAATGTACAGATTTCCATTTTACAGAACTCATAAGAGTTATGTGTGGGCCACGTGACATGGGCTGGGCCAGCAGCCGTTCCTGCTTTGTGAGGCAGAGATCAAGATTCCTCTGGTTCGCAGGGTGGTGGTGGTGGAAGAACATAGTTTTCAGGGCGGTTTATCTCACTAAAGTAAAGCAGACCAAACAGATCCGACACAGGTAAGCACTCCCCCACTGCTCACTCCGCCCTCTTTCCTCAGGAGTTTCCTGCTTTTGTGGGATAGACCTAGAAGAGCTGCAAAAGCGTAGAAGGTATGTGATCGTCTAGAAATTGCCTTGGATTAAGAACCTGGAAAAACAAGGTTTCACACTCAAAACTCGTACAACAGCATCTTCCCATCATTCAGCAGTGGCTGGCTTTTAGTTTCAAAAGAAATCTTTATTGCCTCCCTAGAAGAAAACTCAGAAGGAGGGAGAGTTTGTACCAGTGTCCCATCCTCAGGTCAGAAGGAAAAGGAGCAAGGACAAAAGCGCTTGCACATTTTTCCTTGTGATGAAGAGAGAACGTAAAACATGACTGTTTCTACCTACCAAAACCTGTCTCTGGTAAGTATAACCTGAAAAACAATGTAGTTCTTTTTCTGGCATTTGTATATATATATATATATATATATGTATCTATTTGTGCTCTAACAGGGCAACCTACTTTGTGTGCAAAAGCACACAATGTAACATATATGTATGTATTTGTTAGGAGATGCATTCTCATAAAAATGCCCATTGTGTCATGCTTTTGTCATGCTTTTTGACAGTGTCTTCATCAAAACAGTGGGATATGTGTAGGTTAGTGTAACACATGCAAAGTGACATGCAAAAATTGTTGAATACAGATCCCTGGTATGTGTTTCGTATTGACTGCACACAGTGCAACTGCTGTCTCCTTCCCAGAGATGCGGTTTGGAATGGGGGACAGAAGGGGCTCTCATGCCTGAGGACAGTGCAAAAATATCACATCAACGGAAAAAGAACTGACGATATAGGCAAATATTCAAACACATGCCTATGTTTTGCAAAAACCAGCTACATCTAGAACCTAAAGTAATGTTATTGCTATAATGCTACACTGAAGCTAGGTGTTCTATTTACTAGAGCTGACAGCCCCATTAATAAGGCTACTTCCAGGATCTGAACTAGTATCTGAATGTTTGCTATGCAACGTACAAATGTCCTAGAATTAACCTTTAAAGTTATTCTGTGTTTAATAATAACCACGAATCTGCATCCTAGACTGCTCTAAGTTCTATTAAGAAGCCCTTTTTAGATGAGCCTGGCAATAAGTGCTTATGGTCTATTTATGCATTTTAGGTCTGTGTGATCAAATGCTCCCATTATTCAGTATGCATTCACATAGGAAATCCTAGTACATTTACACTGGCATGCATTTATGCACGCATTTCCCTAGGATATTATGTATGTGCATAGCTGCATGTTCTCATGATGGCATGTACTCAAGTATGTATGTTCTTATTTTGGTCATGATACTTATGACTTCTGTTTTATGTTGAAAAAACTATTCCATCTTCCACAGATGTCTGTCCCCTTAACTGCTCATCTGTTTTCAAGTGTCTGCTACCAGCATCTGTACTGCCATGTGGTTAGAGACACAGTGGAAGAACATCCGCCAAGCCTTGTTGCTTCTTTTCACTGCTGCTCTTCTCATTGGGGTCACCATGCTGGCCATTTCATCCAACATCAATCCAGTAGGCTATTTCTTCCTAGGGGTAGGGGGAGTGTGCCTGATCGGCTATTTGCTGAGTGTGTTTGTTGAGTGTTACCTGAGGAATCGACAGCGACGTGACGCAAACGAGGTATCTCCAAACAGGCAAAACCAAGCAGGGTAAGCAGCAACCTGGCTATTCCTCTTACTTTAACTCTCTCCTGAGTCATGGCCATTTTACATATTGTTTTGCTGTCTTTCTCCTAGGACACAAAACACAGACTCTGTTCCAGAAGTCTAAAGTTCTTTTTCCATAGTTTTCCTTCATTCTTCAGGTGGAGGTTGCAAATGTCTCTGCCATGCGTGTCCTGTATCCTGTTCGATATATATTTTCTTCCCCCCCCCCCCCCCCCCCCCCCCCCCGGGAACTGATCCACTAACAATTTCCAGGGTTAAACAGATCCAGGCCCAGTTTTATGTTTCTTTGAGTAATTAAGTCTTGCCAAACAATGAGTCAGACAAGGAAAAAGAAAAACTGCTGAGGCAATACTGAATCTTAGCTGGGTTTAGCTCTATAAACTTTATCTGTAAAGCAACTGTGCCTCAGCAAACTTTTAAAAAGGAACCTGTAACTGGGAGTGTTTCCAGTCTTAAACACCCAATTACATGCTGATAAACCCTGATTTTGAGAGGCTCTGAATTCTTCCACATCTTTTTGGCTTCACGCACATTTGCAGGTTCTCAGTGTCATCTAATTTTAACCCCTATTTACCTACTGCAGTTGAAGAGTTTACTTGTCTCTTTGCTTCCTTGTCTGTATACTCCACATAATCATTATCATATTCATAAATGACTTGACATTCTTAAATACAGGGTTTGTAAGAGGGGAAATATTATTGTTTCTTTTTAGAAAGAGTAAGTAAAAAGGAGTCTATATTGAGCTTTGCTAGCTTGGGAACTCACTAGAAGAAAATTAGTATGTTTATTTAAAAATGCAACCTAGAAAGGAAAATGTTTCTAAAATAACATTTTCCTCTGTAGATACTCTTTTTAACACAAAATAATTAGTCTTTTTTAAACTAAATGAAAATACTTGGGCTTTTTTCCTTTTAAAATAGACAAACATTGAGCTAATGTATTAAAAAAGCAAGGTCCTGTTTTATTCCAAGAAATACTTAGTAGCAATTCTTAATAGTAAATTTTAACTGGTAGGAGATTTAAAATGAGGGACCATCAAGCCAAACCTAGGACACTGATGAACAGTGTGGGTTTCCTCACTTATTCCGGAGCATGTGGATGAGAATGAATGAGCCATTCTCTAGACCATGAAGCGAGATACTAAGTTAGCTGTACAAGTGAGCTGATCCAGTGGCACAATATCACATACAGTAAACCCATGTGAGAGATAATGTCTCAGCCCCATCTATTGATTGGTCCCAATAGTACATTATCTGGACTACCTGCTTCTGCATAAACTAAGCAGTAAAATAATCACTGTAACTGCCATTCCTCTTTTTGTGCATAGGGTGAACGCTGCCTATGAAGCACCCACCTATGAGGAAGTGATGACCATGTCAGTTCCAGCAATATGGACAATTGCATCCAATCCAGGCTTAGTGCCCTCGCCACTGAATGAGCCTCCTCCTTACAACGTAGTTATTGAATCATCCACCCAAGAAGAGATTATGGTGGAGGCTCTCAGGATGTCAGTGGCATCAGACACAGGGCGAACCTCTGAGACAGATACAGGACCCAGGATGCAGTTGCAGCTGGTGCTGCCCCCAAGACTGCAGCGGTTTGTTTCGGATATCCATGAAGTGAAAGGTGTTGAAGACAGGTTTGAACCACTGGAGCCACTCACTCCACCACCTGCTTATGAGAGTGCTGTCAACGATGATGTCTTTGAAGATGCTTTCCAGCCCTCCATATTATGATTCATTTCACCTTCCAGGAATGCAGAACGAAATCCTCTGCCCAATATAGAATGCTCCTAGAAGGTGAAAGAGCTGAGATATTTCACACCACAAACTGTACAAATTTGCCTCACCATTCTTTGAACCAGAGCTGAGCTAGAGGCACAGCTTCTGATGTCACTAGAACTTTTTGCACAAAATACAAACCAATGCAATACCACAGTGCTTTGTCTTAGCAGATACATAAAACCACTGGGAGGAAAGCCATGTTATACCTGGCAACAATTCTTAAACTGGAGAGACACCTTTATGGAGGAGGAATGTGAATCCTGAGAAAAGGTTTCCAAAGGACCTCTGAAGAAGGACTGTAGGATGCAGTCAGGAGAAGTTGCCTGGGATAGGGGAAAAATAGAAACAGCACTAAGTAGATTCTGCCTGTGCATTACAAACAGCTTTGCAATCATCAGTCACCCTAAAACGCCTACTGAGAGACTGAGGCTGCAGTTCCCCCGAGTTGCTGCTTTGCAGCAATACAAATTTATAGTCTACACTGTTTGTTGCTACCCCTCTGCTGCACTTGCTGGGCATCCTTTGCTGTGCTCCACTACATCTGACTGAGGGAAGGATGGCTGTCTTCATCTAAAAGCTGGCACCACCTCATACTTGTCTCCTGGGATTGAAAAGCTGATGGCAAGCATGGCACCATGAAATTACTTCAGTCCTTCACAAGGTTCTTACCCACACAGCCTGCAGTGGTGGACAAGAGGGAGATAATAGCAGCTTTTTTCCTGTAAGAGGAGCTGGCAATGGGATGTGTACACACATACATGTCCTCTGCCTGAACCCCTGCTCTTTGCAGCTCTACAGGAGGGTGTGTTTTTCAACTGTACTACAGGCCCAAACAGATGACTCAAGATACTTTATTGTTATCATGGCAAGCATTTGCACCTCCAGCTCTCCATAATGCTGCCATGCATGGAGGCTTCTCTCTGGACTCTGCAAAGGGCCAGTCCATCTGCCAAGGCCACAGCTGCAGCAGAGCACCCTGGAGAATAACAGCTTTGAGGCACATGTGGTGTTCTCGTGGCTCTAGGCTGGAGCCAGGTTTCAGCTCTCACTGATCAGTGATGCTGTGCGGTCATTTACAACGGTAGAGCTAACCTGATAGGCTGTGCAGGGTTAAAGCAGTCTGCAGCATGCAAAGAATCATTCATGTCTGGCGAGTGTCCAAATATAAGCAATGAAATAAGGTGGTCTGAATCTCTTTATGAAGGAGAGCAGCAATGATCAAAGCTGTGTCTCATATGACTGCATCACCTTTAATTCATATGAGAAACCATCAAACCACAGGCTAGAAGTAAATAAATTCTTATTGTTTGATTCTTTTAAGATCAAAAAAAGAAAAAAAAAAACCAAACCCCTTTTTATGTTGTTTATAAATAAACCACATTAAAAATACCTGGTGGCATCATTAGTTTTTCCTCCCAAAAGAAACACCCCAGAAAGCCATGCTTTTGCCTGCATTCAGCTTATCTGAGAATCTTGGCGTAGAAAGTGGAGTTTAATTTCTAAATCTACAACTGAATCACTTTACTATCATTAATGATGCAGCTATGATGACACTATTATTATAGAATGAGATATAAATCTGCTGATAGATGAAGTGTGATTTCTTTAAAGGCAACCACTTTGTGCATTTCCCTCCTATATCTGCAAACACAAAAGAACAAACCACAATCAAAAACAATACACGTATACCACACAGTAATAGAAAGAGAGTGTGAACTGGGCCACCCAGGACCTTTCTGAGTGCACCAAACTGCCAGGAGTCAGGAAGAAATTCAGGCAGCCAGCACAGACAAAAACTGGTCAAAACAAAGGCCAAAATGTCACCAGTTTTGATCACTGGGATTTTTACCTTTTCAAGTTATTCAAGCCTTTGGACTTGTGTTAAGTTTTAGCATGTGAAACTCCTGTACACCAAGGAAAAACTATCTGGAGCTTTACATGACAAGAGCTGTAAATTTGCTTCTGCTAAAAGGATTTTCATTTGCTTCTCCCTTCATATTTCAAGTGTACTCTGCACAACCCATGTGCTCCCTTCTCCCATTTAACTACGGAACATTACTTGAGCCCTTTATCAAGGAGCGTGACCGGCAGGTCGCAGGAGGTGATCCTGCTCCTCTACTCTGCTCTCGTGAGACCTCACTTGGAGTATTGTGTGCAGTTCTGGTGTCCTCAACATAAAAAGGACATGGAACTGTTGAACAAGTCCAGAGGAGGCCACGAAGATGATCAGGGGACTGGAGCACCTCCCGTATGAAGACAGGCTGAGGAAGTTGGAGCTGTTCAGCCTGGAGAAGGCTGAGTGCAGACCTCATAGCAGCCTTCCAGTGTTTAAAAGGGGCCTATAGGGATGCTGGGGAGGGACTCTTAAATAGGGACTGTAGTGACAGGACAAGGCGTAATGGGTTAAAACTTAAAACAGGGGAAATTTAGGTTGGATATAAGGAGGAAATTCTTTACTGTACGGGTGGTGAGGCACTGGAATGGGTTCCCCAGGGCAGTTGTGAATGCTCCATCCCTGGTGGTGTTCAAGGCCAGGTTGGACAGAGCCTTGGGTGCCATGGTTTAGAGTGAGGTGTCCCTGCCCTTGGCAGGGGGGTTGGAACTGGATGATCTTAAGGTCCTTTCTAACCCTAACTGTTCTGTGATTCTATCAATTTCCGCTGATTTCACCTGAAATGTGTGTTAACAAGAGACGTAACAGAAAACCTGTAACAGAAATCCAACAAAAAACCCCAACCAAAAGCCAATCACAGAACTGCTCTGTTTGCAAGGAAAGCTGCATACTTGCTATTCTACCCACACACAGAACCCCTCCCATTACTCTGATGTGCAAGACTAATCCCACGGGCAGGGACACCTTCCACTAGAGCAGCTTGCTCCAAGCCCGTGTCCACCCTGGCCTTGAACGCTGCCAGGGATGGGACAGCCACAGCTTCTCTGGGCACCCTGTGCCAGCGCCTCAGCACCCTCACAGGGAAGAGCTTCTGCCTAAGAGCTCATCTCATCTCCCCTCTGGCAGGTTAAAGCCATTCCCCTTGTCCCGTCCCTACAGGCCCTGTCCCAAGCCCCTCTCCGGGTTTCCTGCAGCCCCTTTAAGCACCACAAGACCTCCATGATCACACCCCGCACCCACCACGCCCAGGCACGAACAGACACGAACCCCACCGGCGCAAGGCGCGCCCGCGCATGCGCACATCCGCCACACAGGGCGCGCCTGACGCTCGTCCTGTGGCGCGGAGCGCTTGCCTCGCTCACGTGACTGAGCGGAGGCAGAGCGGTCCGGGTCGCCGTGGCCGTCGGGGAGCGGTGAGTCCCGGGGTGCGATGGGTGCGATGGGTGCGAGCCGCTCGGTGGGAGCCGGGCCCCGGGGTTGGGGGGGGGGGGGCACGCAGAGCCCTGCTCCTGCCTCGGCCCGTGCGGGTTTGGGAGCCGGGGGTAGCGCAGGCCGCTTCCGGCCGTTGTCCGGCTGGCGGCGGGGTCGGTCCGCTTGCTCTTGGGCGGAAGGAAAGGGTGGCTCGTACAGCTGAGTTGCGCTTAGGTCTCACCTCTCCCGCTAGGGAAGCGTGCGGAATGCAGCGGTGTCACCAGGAAGCGCTAAAGAAGAACCGGGTGTTGCTGGCAAAGCAGCTGCTTTTAAGTGAGTTGCTGGAGCATATGATAGAGAAAGACATCATCACCGCGGAGATGGTGGAAGTTATACAGGTATGCAGGTTATACTCGGCTACACCCGAGCCTTAACCTCGAGTTCTAGTTAAGCTCAGTGTCCTTCCTGGCAGTGGCAACATGATAAACTGCTTATTCTAATGCGATTACATGTGTGGAACGTGCAAAGCATGTGGGTTTTGCTTGCAACCCACGGGAGAACTGTAAGCCACTGTTTGCGATACTAATTTTGACTGGGGCTTACTAAATCGTTGGCTTGCATGCTGGAGTTGCAGCAGACTGTGCTTTGTGAGTCCAGTAGTTATCTTCCAGTCCTTTGTTGTCATTTTGTGCCTCCCTATGTAGAAGTAGAAATAACACCTATTTCCCCAAGAATACTGTGAAAATAAGTAATATATTGTAAATCAGCTTATTGTGTCACCTGGCACTTAAAGAATTTGTACTTTGTCTGTGTTTTCCTTAATTGCATGAAGAGCTTTACATGATCCAGCACCCTCACTCTCACATAGCGAATGCCATTCATACACTTTTGTTAACTTATCCTGTGTAGTTGGTACTATGAAGAGAAGTCACTGGAATTATCTTGGGATTGCTCCCAGGGGCGTGGTAATGCACTGAAGTGTGTGCAGGATGAAGGTAAAATTCTTCAAAGAGAAAGCAGGAAAGGAAGTGACTGAAGGTGTATGTCAAGTGCATCTCAGGACTCAAATAAGCAATTGAGGCACTTTTTAGTCCGTTAGTAGGATTGATGGTCCTGTTGTAAAAACAGATGCTGAAAAACAGAATTCTGAGCTATTTCTGGGCACTGCTGCACGTGGTGTGAACCTTAGACTGATAAGGTTTTTAGAAGTAATGAAGAAATAACTTTGTGATGACTTTTGACTCACATGTGTCACATAATGTGAAATTATTCATGGGACCTGTTAGGGGCACCTGTGCTAGGTAATTGGGAGGTGCAGGCAGTCTCACCTGAAATAGCTCAGATCCCTAGTGAAGGAGGACAAAGGTGCAGCAAGACAGTGAAAAGTCAGAGAATGAATCAAGAACTGTTTGTGCTGGTTTTGGCTGGGATAGAGTTAATTTCTTCATAGTAGCTAGTATGGGGTTATGTTTTGGATTTGTGCTGAAAACAGTGCTGATAATACAATTTATGCTAAGTATGGGTGGTTGGTAGGGATGTTCAGTTGCTAGCCTGCAGTTAGTTACTGAAGGGGGACAGAGGGGAGGAAAAGAAAAGGAGAAAAAGGAAAAGAAAGAAAAAGCCCTCCCAAAGGTGGGATAATGCCAGAGAAGAGTCTTTTTGGCAAAATGCTGCTGAGACAGGGGAAGCAGACTAGAGGAATCTTCCCCTTCAGGTGTAATTACATAAAAGGAGATGCAACAATACTTAGTAATGGATTATCGGTAAGGAGAAAGGTATTACCATGGGTAAGTCAGGTAAATAGCAATAGCTTAGTGGAAAAAATTATGCCTAATACAACCTACACACATAACTGAGAGCTTAAATATATATAAATAGCAATAGCAGATTGAGCAAGAGAACAAAGCGACTTGAACTACTGTTGCAGGGTATGAATCTGGACATTACAATGAAAACAAATACAGTGGGGAAGAAGGAAAGCACTGACAACTGGAACAGTAGTACTGTGAAATAAGGATAGAAATGAAGGGAACATGCTAATAACAGTGCTATAGATACAAAGTAATGTGCATTTAAAAAAAAGATCACTTGGGTTAAAACCACTTTGTGTTGCTTTTCATTTTTCTATGAATGTCTGTGAATTTGTAGTAGTCCTCCGCTATGGCTGAAATGTGAAAAGTCTTGG